CTCTCTCTAGCTAGATGCACAGTTAAAGGGGAAATACATTTAAAAATCTAAATGTATATATTTTTCCAGACCTCAAAAATGGCCTTCTGATGTGATTTTATCATCGACTCAGAAAAAGAGGAGCAGCAGAACTCACTTACCCTTTGCTGAATTTTTTGAAGGGCGGTCGAATGACACTCCGGCTCTTCACAACACAGTGTCTGCCCACCCTGACGTTGGCCAGGTCTCCACGGATTATACAGTCATTCATTACTATAGTCTGGAAGAGACAGGGACAAACAGAGGGAGGGAGGGAGACAGGGAGGCAGACAGGGAGGCAGACAGGGAGGCAGACAGGGAGACACAGACAGGGAGGGAGGGAGACAGGGAGGCAGACAGGGTGACACAGACAGGGAGGCAGACAGACAGACAGACAGACAGGCAGACAGACAGGCAGACAGACAGGCAGACAGGGAGGCAGGGAGGCAGACAGGGAGGCAGACCACAAACAGACAGACAGGGAGGCAGGCAGACAAGACAGGTTGACAGGGTGACAGACAGGGAGGGAGACAGACAGGGAGGGAGGGAAAAGACAGGAGGGAGGGGGGAATTGGTGGACACCAGACAGACAGACAGCAGAAAGACAGACAGACAGACGACAGACAGACAGGACAGACAGACAGGGGGGAGGAAGACAGGAGGAGGGAGGGGTGACACAGGACAGACAGGACAGAACAGACGACAGGCCAACAGACAGACAGGTGGGACCAGACAGACAGACAGGGGGGGGGGGGGGGGGGGGACACACAGACAGGGAGGGAGACAGGGAGGGAGGGGGGAGGGGGTGACAAAGGACAGGGAGGGAGACAGACAGACAGACAGACAGACAGACAGACAGACAGACAGACAGACAGGCAGGCAGGCAGGGAGACAGGGAGGGAGACAGTTATTGTCATATCTTAAGGAGAATTGTGAATGTAAGGAATAAAGCACCAAACTGGCCCATCTCATGGGTATTACTGTATAAGTGATGTAAGGAATAAAGCATCAACTGGCCATCTCATAGTGTATTACCTATATAGTGAATGTAAGGAATAATAAAGCATCAATGGCCCATCTCATCGTGTCCCAACCTGTATAGGAAGTAAGGAATAAAGCACCACAGGCCCATCTCATCGTGTTGACCTGATAGCTGAATGAAGGAATAAAGCATCAACTGGCCCATATAATAGTGTTATACCTGTATAGGACATGTAAGAATTGAAAGCATCCACTGCCCATCTCATGTATATTTACCTGTATAGTGAATGTAAGGATTAAAGCATTCAAAAGGCCCATCTCATGGTTGTAGTACCTGTAAGGAAGGTAAGGAAATAAAGCTTCAACTGCGCCCATCTATAGTGAATACCTGTATAGTGAATGTAAGGAATAAAGCACAACTGGCCATTCTCATAGGTATTACTGTTATAGTGATGTAAGGAATAAAGCACCCAACTGGCCCATATCTATGGTTATTACCTGTTGTGAATGTAAGGAATTAAAGCATCAAGGCCCATCTCATATTGGATTACCTGTATATGTGAATGTAAGGAATAAAAAGCATCAACGGCCCATTCATAGTAATTACCTGTATAGTTGATGTCAGGAATTAAAGCATTAACTGGGGCCCATTCTCATAGTGTATTACCTGTATAGTGAAGTAGGAATTAAAGCACCAAACTGGACCCATCTACATAGTATATTACTGTATAGGGAAATGTAAGGAAATAAGCATAAACTGGCCCATCTATAGGAGTACTGAGAGAGTGAATGTAAGGAATAAAGCATCAACTGGCCCATCTCATAGTGTATTACCTGTATAGTGAATGTAAGGAATAAAGCATCAACTGGCCCATCTCATAGTGTATACCTGTTATAGTGAATGTAAGGAATAAGCACCAACTGCCATCTATAGTGTAAATACCTGTATAGTCGAATGTAAGAATAAAGCATCAACTGCCCATATATAGTGTATTACCTGTATAGTGAATGTAAGGAATTAAAAGGCACCAACTGGCCCATCTCATATGTATTCTGTAGACGTGAATGTGTAAGGAATAAAGCATCAATGGACCCATCTAATAGTGTATACCGTATATAGTGAATGTAAAGGAATAAACGCATCAACTGGCCCATTCTCATAGTGTATTACCTGTATAGTGCATGTAAGGAATAAAGGCATCAACTGGCCCATACTCATAGTGTATTACATGATAGTGAATGGAAGAATATAAAGCATCAACTGGCCCATATCATAGTGTATTACCGGTCTAGTGAATGTACGGAATAAAGCATCAATGGCCCATCCAGGTTATTACCTGTAATAGTGAATGTAAGGGAATAAAGCCTCAGGGGCCATCTCATAGTGTATTACCTGTATAGTGAATGTAAGGAATAAAGCATCAACTGGCCCATCTCATAGTGTATTACCTGTATAGGGAATGTAAGGAATAAAGCATCAACTGGCCCATCTCATAGTGTATTACCTGGATTGTGATTGTAAGAATATAAACGGCATCAACTGACCATCTCCTAGGTATTACATGTATTGTGAATGAAGGAATAAAGCATTCAACTGGCCATCTCATAGGTATTACTGTATAGGAATGTATGGAATAAAAGCACATCAACGGCCCATCTCATAGTGATACCTGTAGTGAAAAAAATGTATTGGAATAAAGAATCAATGGCCACATCTCATAGTGTATTTACTGTAGTAGTGAAGGTAAGGAATAAAGGCATCAACTGGCCCATCTCATAGGTATACCTGTATATAGTGAATGTAAGGAAAAAAGCATCAACTGGGCCCATCTAATAGTGATACTGTATAGGAAGGTAAGGATAAAGCATCAAAGGCCCATCTCATAGTGTATTACGTATAGTGAATGTAAGAATAAAGCAATCAACTGGCCCACTCATAGTAGTGTATACCTGTTATAGGGGAAGTAAGGAATAAAAGCATCAATGGCCCCCATCTAATAGTGGATTAACTGTACTCTGAGTGGGCAGTGATCTAAGGCAATGCATAGCCAAGTGAATAACTGTCTGTCACTAGAGATCTGGTTCGAATCCAGGATCTGTCGCCGCCGGCGGGACCGGGGACTCATGGGCGGCGCACAATTGCCCCAGCTCGTCCAGGGTGGGAGGGAATGGCCGGAAGGGATGTAGCTCAGTTGATAGAGAATGGCGTTTGCAACGCAAGGGTTGGGGTTCGTTTGCCCACGGGGGGGCAGTAATAAAAAAAATATGTATATTCACTAACTGTAAGTCGCTCTGGATAAGAGCGTCTGCTAAATGACTAAAATGTAAATGTAATGTATAGTGAATGTAAGGAATAAAGCACCAACTGGCCCATCTCATAGTGTATTACCTGTATAGTGAATGTAAGGAATAAAGCACCAACTGGCCCATCTCATAGTGTATTACCTGTATAGTGAATGTAAGGAATAAAGCACCAACTGGCCCATCTCATGGTGTACCACCTGTTTGCTTGTCGTTACTTACTTTGCCGTTGAGGACGATGTTCTGACTGCCGCACAGTACCGACTGCCTGCTCACTTTGTTACCAGAAGCCTGAGAGGGAGAGGCCAATGCTGATCAGTTGGTATAACGGTACCGACTTAGCTACAAGTTTACAACACCGCTTGATGCTAACTGTAATCGGTGCTTTGTCTCAAGAAATGGTCTGACTACAATTCAGCTGGCTAGCTAGCTAGCAACGATGGTTCAATGCATTGACTGTGTACTCTACACCTGAATATACTAAAACATTAAGAACACCTTCTCTTTCCATGACGTAGACTGACCAGGTGAACCCAGGTGAAAGCTATGATCCCTTATTGATGTCACTTGTTAAATCCACTTCAATCAGTGTAGATGAAGGGGAGGAGACGGGTTAAAGAAGGGTTTTTGAGACAATTGAGACATGGATTGTGTATGTGTGCCATTCAGAGGGTGAATGGGCAAGACAAAAGATTGAAGTGCCTTTGAACGGGGTATGGTAGTAGGTGCCAGGTGCACCGGTTTGTGCCAAGAACTGCAACGCTGCTGGGTTTTTCACGCTCAACAGTTTCCCCTGTGTATCAAGAATGGTCCACCACCCAAAGGACATCCAGCCAACTTGACACAACTGTTGGAAGCATTGGAGTCAACATGGGCCAGCATCCCTGTGGAAGGCTTTTGACTCTAGTAGAGTTCATGCCCCGACGAATTGAGGCTGTTATAAGGTCAAAAGTGGGGGGGGGGTGCAACTCAATTTTAGGAAGGTGTTCCTAATGTTTGGTATACTCAGTGTAAATTCAACTAAACTAAACGTTAGCTAGCTAGCTAATCGTTAACGTTATCAAGCCAAATAAACACCGAATAGAAGCTTGCTACAGAATATTACCCGTTTCAATGTACTTCCGCCCTTGTTGTACAGTACTCTCACACAACTCCATTATTGTAAAAATAATAATAATAAATGTTGTACAGAAAACGAGTTGATGTAGATTGTGTTGCTCTGCTGTCAACCGCTCCCTTCAGTACCGTGAATGGTGTTTTCAGACCATACTAGCAGGGCACTACATCATCGATGATGATGGCTAGCATATGCTCACAAATAAAAAGTATATTCAATGAAAATACAAAAATATGTGAGTTAAAGAAGTAACATCATTGTTAATGATCGACGAAATTGAAATGTTTTTTTTGTTTCGGGTGATTAGTCATGTCTACGCATATAATGTAGTACCTAGATCGGGCTACCCGATTCGACAAATTCAACCAAAGTCCAAAAAATTTACATCATTCCAATTTAATTAAATAAGAAAACATACAGGAAAGCATTATACTGACGTTATAGTGAATAAAGAAAAAAACACAACAATATTAAATATCGGCGCTATTTCATAATAACCAGTGCGCACCCTCACATTTGACCTCCATTTCCCTCCCAGACGTGTTTGCTTTGCACCCTGGGATTGATCGGTATCTTCTCAATCATGGCGTCCCGTGTCCTAGCGCAGTGTGTCCGCCAGCTCGCCCGGCCTTCTGCGAGGCTCTCGTCGGGCAACGTTGCAGTGAGAGCCGCCGCCGCCGCCCCGGTCCCGGTCCTGTCCAACCCCCGGTCATTCTCCTCCATTGGCAGCAGTCAGCGGACACGGTGGATCCAACAAACCCGGGTCAGTCTTTGAATAACATTGAACCCACTCGGGTCGCTGCTGCTGTGGCCTAGCAGTACTGGTTTTGCACATTGACCTACCAGTGCCTTTCCGACCAAATCGGTTAACTAGTGATAGCTAGCTAGTGGCCTGTCACTGTGCACGGCCAAGGTCTTACAACTGGGTCACAATTGTCTAATTCAACCAAACTGTCTCTGAAAAGTGCCTAGTTGGAGATATTACATTACAAAACAACCGACCGTGTCTCACGCGTTAGCCTAAGCAAGTTAACAGCTAGCTTGCGCTAATTGACCTGTAATCGTTTAGGTACTCGGCTAGCTAGTTGAGTACAATCAAAAGATACTTTTATGTTCAACTATTCATCTGTGGTACAGTCAAGTACTGTACTGTTAACCTAGCTTACTAGCTAGCTAGTACGTTATCAAGTGTGTACTAGCTAGATGAGTCGATTGACACATTTTTAATTTAAACCAAAGCAAATGTGTAGTTCCTAGCTATTATCAATGCCTGGGGTTGTGTGACTGGACGATACATGCATGGCTTGTGCAACACCACTGCACTACATACAATGCGGTGGACATCTGTAACATTAGTTAGCTAGCTAGCTATTACCTCTAGGCTTGAACTTCACTGCTTGATGGTCGAAAGGGTGCATTATGCTGAAGTGTTGTCAGTAAAGCTGGCATCGACAAGTGAATGACCTCTAAACCCATCCCTGTTTCCCCTTCCTCCTTCCTCGCTTTCTTCTTGTCTCTCTAGATCTCTAGCTCAGTGGGGTTGTTGTGCAGACAGTATGGAGACCTGCCCCCCCTCACCATTGAGACCATTAAAGAGCGCGTCATGTACGTCCTCAAGCTCTACGACAAGATCAACCCAGAGAAGGTAAGGACAGACCGAGGCACCGGTGGCTCGTTTGAGAGTAGGAATACCGAGGGGGGGTGTGATCATTAGTCCAAACAGTTGAGTTTTCCAATGAAAACAAAGAGTTTCTATTGGACAAATTCCCTCTTGTTTCGTTCCATCCGCTACAGCACGGTTCCGTTTGGTGTCTAGTGAATTACACCCCAGATATCTAGGATCAGTTTGACTTTTCAGACAACATCAACGCTCCTTATCTGAGGCAGCTGGACAGCAAGTCTCCTTTGAGGCCCAAAAGCACCTGGGCATGTATTACATTTACATTTTAGTCATTTAGCAGACGCTCTTATCCAGAGCGACTTACAGTTAGTGATTTTTTTTTATTAATTTTTTATACTGGCCCCCGTGGGATCGAACCCACAACCCTGGCGTTGCAAACGCCATGCTCTATCAACTGAGCTACATCCCTGCCGGCCATTCCCTCCCCTACCCTGGACGACGCTGGGCCAATTGTGCGCCGCCCCATGGGGTCTCCCGGTCGCGGCCGGCTGCGACAGAGCCTGGACTCGAACCAGGATCTCTAGTGGCACAGTTAGCACTGCGTTGCAGTGCCTTAGACCACTGCGCCACTCAGGAGTATTCATAAAGTATATTATATTTAAGTGATAATTCCCCGAGAAGAGATGCCTTTTGAGAGGACATTATCGCCTTTATACATCAGGTTACCGACATATTCAAATAATAATGATTGACATATTTTCATCAAAAAAAACTTTATTTTGATTAATTTATTCATACTATTTCATTCTTCCACAAGATATAGTCCCGACACAAATCTAGGGTTGCTACCCAAGCCGGCTGGTCGTTCGTGCTATCGGTTCGGTTGCCAGAGACGCGACCCAGTCGCTCAGTCTTTTTGTTCTGTATCTATGGACGTGACCCAGTCGCTCAGTCTTTTTGTTCTGTATCTATGGACGCGACCCAGTCGTTCAGTCTTTTAGTTCTGTATCTATGGACGTGACCCAGTCGTTCTGTATCTATGGACGCGACCCAGTCGTTCAGTCTTTTTGTTCTGTATCTATGGACGCGACCCAGTCGTTCAGTCTTTTTGTTCTGTATCTATGGACGCGACCCAGTCGTTCGTTCTAAATGTTCCATTGCCATACTGGCTGGCAACGTTCTTATCCCTTTCTTGCTAGCTAGCCAACTACGGCTAACTTAGTCACGTCAAAAAGTGCAGTCAGAATAACAGCAAAGTAGCTGTGTTTGTTTAAGCTGTTTTCTAGTGACATTTATTTGTATGTATCCATAACAATGAGCTAATGAGGCGCGATTTCACCCTGGCATAGAAAATGTGCTCGCTGGTCAGGACACTGTTGTTCAGAGGAGCTGGCCAACAACACAGCTAACACAATCACTTCAAACTGAAGCTGGAAAGACTGCAAACTACAGTAGCTGCACTTTGTTTCGTTTGACCTTTTTTCAATTTACATTTCTTTTTAAATATCCATAAAAATGATGCCCGCTGATTCATGATTTCGACTGGCTGAGAAACTCTGCCTCCCCTTTCTGTCTCGTCCACGACTCCCGACACGTTCATTACTATGGGACAGTTGGAGATCAAATTTGAAGATTGTAACAATGTTGCAAATGTCGGAGAGACAGACAGCCAGGTTTATACAAATATCCGCTGTTGAAAGCTAAATGTTAGTCTAAAAGAAATGTGAGATAATGTCTAGATGCTTTTTATAGTGGAGTTCAAGTTTATAAATTGCCTGGCTGGGCTGATGAGACAGTGGATTGGGCAGTCAGATAATAATAATAATATGCCATTTAGCAGACGCTTTTATCCAAAGCGACTTACAGTCATGCGTGCATACATTTTTTGTGTATGGGTGGTCCCGGGGAATCGAACCCACTACAAGATGGAACAGAGTAAATAGGCATTTTAACGTCATAGATTTAGCCGGCGGTAACTTGTGGAATAGACATCGGCCGGAATGCGCTTTTAACCAATCAGCTTTCAGGATTAGACCCACCCGTTGTATAAATACAAAAGCATGTGGAGACCCCCTTCAAATTAGTGGATTCGGCTATTTCAGCCACACCCGTTGCTGACAGGTGTCTAAAATCGAGCACACAGCCATGCAATCTCCATAGACAAACCCAACCTCCTCTGATCCATCAACCAGCCCCCTGTGTGTGTTCCAACCTCCTCTGATCCATCAACCAGCCCCCTGTGTGTGTTCCAACCTCCTCTGATCCATCAACCAGCCCCCTGTGTGTGTTCCAACCTCCTCTGATCCATCAACCAGCCCCCTGTGTGTGTTCTAACCTCCTCTGATCCATCAACCAGCCCCCTGTGTGTGTTCTAACCTCCTCTGATCCATCAACCAGCCCCCTGTGTGTGTTCTAACCTCCTCTGATCCATCAACCAGCCCCCTGTGTGTGTGTGTAATCTATATGTACCACCTGCCTCTATCCTCAGCTGGTGACGTCGTCCCACTTCCTGAAGGACCTGGGGTTAGACAGCTTGGACCAGGTGGAGATCATCATGGCCATGGAGGATGAGTTTGGTGAGTCTCCCTGGGGGTCTGTCTGTCCATCTTTCTCTCTCTCTGTCTGTCTGTTGGTCTGTCTCTCCCTGTCTGTCTCCCTGCTGGTCCACCAGTTGATTATAATAGAAATGTCCGTTCTAGACTAGTCGTTCTGTTTCCATGACATGAACTTAGATTTCTGGATGAACTATCCCCTTTTCCACTTCCTACCTACAGCCTATATACAACTATTGGTTAATACCGCTGGGTTAACGTGTGTGTGTGGTGTGTGTTAACGTGTGTGGTGTGTGTGTGTGTTAACGTGTGTGTGTGTGTTAACGTGTGTGTGTGTGTTAACGTGTGTGTGTGTGTGTTAACGTGTGTGTGTGTGTTAACGTGTGTGTGTGTGTGTGTGTGTGTGTGTGTTAACGTGTGTGTGTTAACGTGTGTGTGTGTGTGTGTGTTAATGTGTGTGTGTGTGTGTGTGTGTGTGTGTGTTCCTGCTACAGGGTTTGAGATCCCAGACGCGGAGGCAGAGAAGCTGATGTCTCCTCAGGATATCGTCCAGTACATCGCCGACAAGAAGGACGTGTATGAATAGAACCAAGCTAGGATTACTAGCGCACTCAGAGTGAGTGTCCACTCCGCCTTTTCCCCATGTCGTTGAGAAGGGAGAAGTGTAACGCTCGCTCACCATAAAATAAAACTAAAACTACATTATTTTATTTAAACAACTATTAAAAGCTTTGTGTTTCGGCCTTCATCAGAACCATGTCATTAGTCTCCAATGACGTGTATATATATCCTGAATTGCTGATGCTATGTTTTGACCATGAAGAGACTTTGAAGCCAGCAGGTCGGCCATATTGCCACTCCTCAGTAGAAGCAGTCCTCCGTAGGAATGAATGGAATTCTACAGTATTTCATTTGAAATGTTTTGTATTTCTGCATTTAAGATGTGTTTTGTTGTTGTAGCGAGGACAGTAATATTAGTACTTTCAAAAAAATATTATACTTTAAGGAAAATATTTTGTTCATTTGTTTAGCGCACATAGTATAATTTAAAAATAATGCATTAAGGCGTCTGTAATACAATTAAAATGTAAGACATTACAGTAAATGCATTTCTATAACTTCCAAAGTGTTTGTTTTTTTACGATGTGGGAGAGCCAAGATGTAGACGCGGTGGCTTCAACACAGCGCCCCCTATCAGTCACCGAGTGCAGTAGTTCCCAAAACTCTGTGGTGCGCCCCCTAGAGGGGGAGGTAGGGAGGTGCGGGCCTCAGTCAGCCTTTCAACTTACTCTTTGAGTGTGTCCAGATCAACTTGCCCGTGTCAGCTAACATTTCTTTGGCTTAGGTTTTTGTAGCCCATAGGTTTTTGTTGTAATGTTCGGGTCAAATCACGTGAATACACATCTCAGACGTGACAAAACGTGTATATAGGATTACAAGAAAATGATCTTTTAAACCGGAAACGTTTTATCTCCGCCAACAAAGAGGGGTGTGAACAGTTTGTCATGAACAGTGCTTGTGGCCCATAGAAATAGACCTGGCGTAGGGGGGGAGGGGGATGTTTCCCCCTGCTGGAAGGGGGGCCTGGGGATGTTCCCCCTGCTGGAAGGGTGGGGGATGTTCCCCCTGCTGGAAGGGGTGGGGGGGATGTTCCCCTGCTGGAAGGGGGGCCTGGGGTGGGGGATGTTCCCCCTGCTGGAAGGGGTGGGGGGGATGTTCCCCCGCTGGAAGGGGGGCCTGGGGTGGGGGATGTTCCCCCTGCTGGAAGGGGTGGGGGATGTTCCCCTGCTGGAAGGGGTGGGGGGATGTTCCCCTGCTGGAAGGGGGGCCTGGGGTGGGGGATGTTCCCCCTGCTGGAAGGGGGGGGCCTGAGTGAAACAGTTAGGGAACCCCTTCTCTAGTGTATATACATAAATCAGTTAGCCTCCCCGTGTCATTACCGTTTCAGACGGAAATCAATCCAACACAGATTAGTGACCTGCGCGCAGTGATGGACTTTTAAAAAGGCCGTTTCCATAGACGTTCGCAGAAATCACGTTCGCTGCAAACGCTGCAGATGCCTCGAGCAGAAATGACCTGCAGCAGTCAACCGCAGTGCACAGGCGGTTTCCTCTGGGGTAGTCAGTCAACCGCAGTGCACAGGCGGTTTTCTCTGGGGTAGTTTGAATCCCTGCCTTTTATTAACTGGTCTAAAACATAGAATCAGCTTCTACTTCATCACATTAAAAACCACGTTTATTAAATTAAGCTGTTCCTGCATCTGTGTTTACTGAGGTGGAACTTCCTGCTTGTTGTTCCTGTGTTTACTGAGGTGGAACTTCCTGTTTCTGCTCCTCACAGGAAGTCCTGATGATGCCGTCTGACTGGCTGGGCTGGGCAGCGTCAAATCCCACTTCTCTTCTTCCTGTCCTCTCTGTGGCATCAGATGCATTGTCTTGTGTTTTCCGCTGTATTTAATGAAAATGTGTTTTCTCCGGAGTTTGGGGAGATGGAAATAAAATAAAGATCACTTTGTGGTTGGACTCTTGTTGTACAGCGCCACCTTGAGGTTCATGGAGTTCCCTCAGTCACCCCTAAAGCCCAACAGGATGGGTAAAGGTGGGTCAGAAATATTTACATTTTAGTCATTTAGCAGACTTACAGTTAGTGGGGGGAAAGACTCCTGGGTCTGTCTCAACGAGGCCCTCAATACTGTATGTCTCAATAAAGGGGCAGTGCAACAACAACAAAAAGATTTTCCCTGCGTTTTACGATAAAGCTGCAATATAACTTTTTGAGTGACCCAAAAACAAATTCACATAGAAATATGAGTTATAGATCTGTCATGGTCATTGAACGCAAGTCTAAGAAGCGGTAGATCTGTTCTATGTGCTCTATTTCTATGCTTCCCGTTCTTAAGTTTTTTCCGGGTTATGGACAATATATTTCACAGTGATTTAGATGGTACAATGATTCTCTACACTATACTTGCTTGTTTTTGTCACATACACTGAAATTAGGCGTACTAATAGAATTTTAGCAACCAGGAAATGCTGGAGTGATTTCTGAAGAGTATATCTTTAAGAACACCTTCCTAATATTGAGTCTCCCCCCATCGATGATGTAGTGCCCTGCTAGTATGGTCTGAAAACCCATTCACGGTACTGAAGGGAGCGGTTGACAGCAGAGCAACACAATCTACATCAACTCGTTTTCTGTACAACATTATTATTATTTATTTTTACAATCATGGAGTTGTGTGAGATACTGTACAACAAGGCGGAGTACATTGAAACGGTAATCTTCTGTAGCAAGCTTCTATTCGGTGTTTATTTGGCTTGATAACGTTAACGATTAGCTAGCTATTAGTTCGTTGAATTTACACTGAGTATACCAAACATTAGGAACACCTTCCTAAAATTGAGTTGCACCCCCCCCCACTTTTGACCTTATAACAGCCTCAATTCGTCGGGGCATGAACTCTACTAGAGTCAAAAGCCTTCCACAGGGATGCTGGCCCATGTTGACTCCAATGCTTCCCACAGTTGTGTCAAGTTGGCTGGATGTCCTTTGGGTGGTGGACCATTCTTGATACACAGGGGAAACTGTTGAGCGTGAAAAACCCAGCAGCGTTGCAGTTCTTGACACAAACCGGTGCGCCTGGCACCTACGACCATACCCCGTTCAAAGGCACTTCAATCTTTTGTCTTGCCCATTCACCCTCTGAATGGCACACATACACAATCCATGTCTCAAGGCTTAAAAACCCTTCAACCTCGATCATGTCACCAGAATACGACCCTCAATATTTATTGAAAAGGAGCATCAAGCTCATCACCGTGGCACTTTCACTACCCTGTGAAGTTCATAACTTATTTCATCTGTAGCCTGATAAACTGCATGCTGTCCCAACGAGTCGTAGTGGAAAAAAACACACACCATATAATCTCGTGACTCCAAAGTTTACTTAGAAATTAAGGTTATAACACTGCCTTTTATCACGGTTATGTTTAGACAAAAAAATATCCCACCATGCCGAACGAACAAATGATCTGTCGGCGTTTATAAAATTGTACCGAAACTTCCTGTTTCCATCACTGCTGTTGTGATTAGTATTATTTTATTTTTTTATTCGGTATGACTTTACGCGCATAAAAACTGTGGATGGAAACGTGGTCAGTAAGGTACTTAATTTATCCAGAAATGATTTGATATTACGATTTTTTTAAAGGCTGCATTGGACCTTTATGAACAATGGAACCCCCAGTATGGGGAAAAA